ACCCTAAACCCTCTTTCACGTTAGTGTATTATATTTTGGTTCATACAATCTCTTGCAGTTGTGAAGATAATGGCTGTAATCAGAAATTCAACACAAAATCCAACTTGAAGAAACACATTGAACGCAAACATGAAAATCCACAGAAACAGTATATAGTGAGTATGCCTTTATATGCTTCAACTCTGATGATTTTTACATTTGCCACCAAAGTGAGTTCACAGAAGGCAGATTTTTTTCTTACTAGGTATGCGAGGCCCAGCATTGGCTGTCCTCATCATGCAAGTTCTCCCTCATCATGCAAGGCACCCTATGTTACTGCTGGCTACCTCAGCAGAAGCATGCTTGCTTTTCTGAATGTCATTGCTCTTTAAGTTTTGAGATGAAGCATTTCACAGGGACTAAGTGGGTAAAGTTTATACTTCCCCGAGGCACTTAGATGCTGAGAAACTGTTGTTTAATTTAAAAAGTTTTATATTTATTCATTTTATTTTATGTGCAAGTGTTTTGCCTGCGTATGTGCCTGTGCACCACACGCATGTTGGTGTTGTGGAGGTCAGAGGAGGGTGTCAGTTCCTCTGGAACTGGAGTTAGGGAGCTTGTGAAGCACCAGGTGGGTGCTGGAGTCCGCACTGTATCCTCCGAGAGAGAAGCAGTGTCCTTAACCACGAGGCCACCTGTAGCCTTGAGAGGACTTCAGCAGCTGTTGAGTCTCTCCCTTACTGAACAGTGCATTTATGTCTTCACAGTGCAGTTTTGAAGGTTGCATGAAGGCCTTTAAGAAGCACCAGCAGCTGAAAACACATCAGTGCCAGCACACGGGCGAGCCGCTCTTCAGGTCAGTGCTTTGCCAACACTGCAGTTCAGAGAAAGACCAAGATCGGGGTCCTGAGCGGAGCTGTCGTGTGTGCCCATGGGGACTTGAACAGTTATATTTGTTTTCATGTCTCTAAAAATCATTTTGCGTGTGTGGAGAACAGCTTGTGAGAATCTTGCAGCGCTGGCTAAGCTTGAAGTGAAGGTGAGGAACCGCCTGTTCGGCTTTATGGCATGCCATTCTGAAGACTCTTTCTCTACAGAACGGAAGTAACTGGGCTCTATCTGCACTGAGGGTTTCCTGAGTACTCAGGACACATGGGGTGGGGTGCGGTGGCCAGGTGTGTGTGCCACGGAGTCTGCCTGCCTGTGTGGTGTCGCCCTGCACAGTTGGGCTGACCAGGGCCTTGCTTCTGGCTCCCACCGGCTGCGCTCTGCCCTGTGCTGCTGCAGTGACAGTACGGTGTCACCCACAGGCCTGTGGCCCTGGCGCTGCCTTGCTGTGCAGTTTTCACTGGTACTGGGGAGCCAGCGCTCGGCCCTTCTTTCCCCACTCCCCTGCAGCCCTTGCATCTGCTGTTACCGTCTCCCTTTCCTCCCTGGTTGCTTCCCTTTTCTGTTTCCTTGAGCCAGGCTCTTCCTGCACAGCTCAGGCTAGTCTTGGACTCGCAGTTGTCCTGTCCCTGCTCCTCAGTGCTGGGATCAAAGGCATGGACCACCATGCCCAGCAGCAAACACCATTTGGTTTGGTTTGGTTTGGTTTGTTTGAGACAAGTTTCTGTGTGTAACAGTTCTGGCTGTCCTGGAACTTGCTTTGTAGACCAGGCTGGCCTTGAACTCACAGAGATCCACCTGTCTTTGTTTCCCTCCGGAGTGCTGGGATTAAAGATATGTGCTACCACCACCCAGCTACAAACACAATCTCTTGTTGGCGTTTTTCTGGTGTTGGTCCCCACTGAGCTGCACCTCCAGGCCCTGCACTATGTTCTTATCTGACAACATGTAGCACTTTGGCCACACAGACAGACAGCTCAGATGGTCCAATGTCACCTAAACCAAGTCAGCCAGCCTCCTGAAGTAGCTTCTGTGGCCACAATGCAGGATATTTTCAGAACTATGAGAACTTTTAATTTGATGACATAAACAAAAGATGTGTGATTTTTTTTTTTCTCTCAAAATAGCTTGTTTTGCTCCAAAGCTGGACAAGTCACTGGTGTTTGTATTTAGGGCCACAGCTGAGTTTTTATTTTGGTGACAGATTTGGTGTGGGAAGCGATGGGCTCTGATGAGAGGATCTCAACAAAGTTCTCCATGGTCAGGGACTAGCTAATGCTTCCTGTGCTGCTTTCCCAGGTGCCCCCAGGAGGGATGTGGGAAGCACTTTGCCTCACCCAGTAGTCTGAAGCGGCATGGGAAGGTTCACGAGGGTACGTACAGACGGGCACTATGCTGGCACTGAGAGACACACCAACAGCAGGATGTGCTTGCTGCTCGGGCCGCTTGGCATCCTTAGTCACTCCATAGAGCTGTGTGGGAAAGGACACTGCTCTGTTATTTGGGTCTTGGTCCCTTGTCATTGCCATTAAACCAGTGTGGTACTAAGCACCTGGCTATGCTTCGAGATTATTAATAACCCTTTTTGTGTGCCACCTATGAGTCTCTTTCTAGTTAGCTCCTCTAAAGTGCACAAAAGGTTTAGACAGTCGAAGTTGCCAGAGCAGTGAGCTTAACACCCCCACTTCATTTCCTCCAGCAGAGCAGCACAGTTTTGAGAGAGGAGGCACACGGTTCCTTTCTGGTTCAGAATAGGCAGTGGATAATTTTTTGTTTTTGTTTTCTTGAACAGGCTATCTGTGTCAAAAGGGATGTTCCTTTGTGGCAAAAACATGGACAGAGCTTTTGAAGCACATGAGGGAAGCCCATAAAGGTAGGCGACATGGAGCTGAGGGCGGGCATCAGCCCTGGGGAGCTGAGGGCGCACTCTGAAAGACTGAGTTGCACACGATGCTGTAAAGGAGGGCTCGGCATCATGTGTAGTGCTGGCTTCCTGGGCTCCACATCTCCAAGCTGCTGCTGCTGTTCACTTGGCTTTTGTGACTCTGCAACTCTGCAGGGCTTCTTGGGAAATGTTGCTGCATGTCAGAGGACAGAGGCAGATGCCTGCCCAGTCACCATGCTAGGGACACCTGCTCCTTGCCAAATGAAGAGTCAGGGAAGTTGGGAGTCATGAGAGGACTTAAGGGGTTTGGAGCCAGCGGCAGTGAGATGAGGGGTTTAAGTTTCCTCTGACATCCCCGGTTTGTGTGTAGTCTCAGGACTAGACGTGCAGTAATAGAGAGGTTGGCTAAGTGAGTGTCTCCCCACCAGAGGAAGTCACCTGTGCGGTGTGCCAGAAGACATTCAAGCGCAAAGACTACCTTAAGCAGCACATGAAGACTCATGCTCCAGAGAGAGACGTGTACCACTGTCTGCGAGAAGGCTGTGGGAGAACCTACACTACCGTGTTCAACCTGCAGAGCCACATTCTCTCCTTCCACGAGGAAGAGCGGCCATTCGTGTGTGAGCATGCTGGCTGTGGCAAGACGTTTGCAATGAAAGTGAGTGTCCTGCTCCAACCAGGTGGTCTTCATGTCCAGCCTGCAGAACCCCAGGCCCCCATTCTGACCCCAGCCAGGCCAGAAGCCCCAGATTTGGAAGCTGATGAACTTATTTTGACAATTGCTCATGGTAGTGGTTCTCAACCTTCCTAATGCTGTGACCCTTTAAAGTTCCTCATATGGTGACCCCCCCAACCATAAAATTATTTCTTTGCTACTTCATAACTATAACTTTGCTACTGTTATAAATCATGATGTAACTATCTGATATGCAGGATATCTGATAGTCAACCCCAAAGGGGTCTTGACCCTCAGGTTAAGAACCACTGCTCTAGGGGATTCTAGCTGTGCTGTGGGAGAGCCAGGGTCCTTTATCTCCACTTAGAGAGCCAGTACTCTGTGAACTTGTAGACCATCACGTAGGGCCTGAGAAAGGAGGTGGGTACCACGGATGGGCAACCTCTCAGCTGTGGGATCTTGGCATGATTCACAGGGTCAGGTGAGAACATGGTTCCTAGCAGGGGACTGTGCAGTTTGCTTCGGCCTAGCTGGTCTCTTACAACCTCTTACTATGGACTGTAAACTCTCCAAGCATAGCTCAGGTCAGTCCACACTGGGACAGGTGTGGTGACCACTGCTGCCAGCCAGCAGGGCAGAAGCCAGATTTCAAGGATGCCACAGAGAGAGTCAGCTAAGCAGCATGAGCTGGGAGTTCAATCCCAGCAGGCTTCCCTTCTCAGGCAAGATCTAAGTCAGTAGACGGATGGAATAAATTCCCTGCATGGCCCTTGGGAAAGACTGAACGCCACTCTGCTGAGGAGTGGAAGTCCCCTAGGCTCTGGTCAAATTCATTCCACAACAGAAAGGCAGCTGGTAGTTTGTAGATTTTCATGACATTTTAATGTTAGCAGATACCCAAGAATTTTTAAATTTTTAAAAGCTTAATTATTGGAACCAGCATACATGTGGTTCTGAGCCGCCATGTGGTTTCTGGGAACAGAACCTGGGTCCTCTGCAAGAGTGGCTCATGCTCTAACCACTGAGCCAGCTTTCCAGCCCTGGACCAAGGGTTTCTAAAGTGGCCTTCTTTTTCCTGCACTGCAGCAAAGCCTTATAAGACACAGCGTTGTGCATGATCCTGACAAGAAGAGGATGAAGCTCAAAGTAAGTCGAGCTGCTTGCACGAGTCTGCTTGGCATTTATCCCCCGGCCCCCTCCACCCTGTATTTGTCCACCTGTTGAAGGTGTAACTCCACCTGGCCCGCCCCCACCGCTGTGTGTGTATCCCACCCGTTGAAGGTGTAACTCCATCGAAGTGGATATGGTTGTGACACAAGCAATTCTGATGGGGAATTCAGTTGTCTGTTTTCCTTACTCCCATAGGTAAGACCACGTCGGGAAAGACGGAGCTTGGCCTCTCACCTCAGTGGGTACCTCCCTCCTAAAAAGAAACTAGAGCCAGACTCCTCGGAGCCTTTAGGCAGCAGCCTGCAAGGCCAAATGCTCCCACCAGCTGCATCACTTACCCTCCAGTGAGCAGCACTGGCCACATGAGGGACTCTAGAGCAGCCAGCAGGAGCTTCTGCATGAGCCTGGACTTTTTTATTAAAGTCAGTGACACAGAACTTCTGACTCCGTGTTTCTGTTATCCTTGCTCAGAGTGTGTCTTCTCTCCGCCTCCTGAGAGTCTCTGTATGCCTTCTCTTCTTTCTTGCTTAAGGGACGAAAAGCACATGTGGAGGCTGTTCCTCCTTTAATGGCTTTCGGTCTGCTTGAGAAGGTTGCTATTCCAGGCATAGTCTGGAGAATCTGGTTAAATATCTCATCCTACAAAGGACAACAGTGCAAGATTAGTTTAAACTTGGTGTCTCTGATGCTGAGGTGAAACTGAGCATTGCACGTTGGAGCTTCTGTGACAGGCCACTCAGTTCCCATGTCTGCTATGCACTGACATCTACATGGGAACTCCATATGTGTGCTAACACTGACGGACTGCAGCCTCTGCTCTGTTATAGCTAGCTCACCCATGCTTTCCCAAAATCAGGCACTGGCTTTGGATCTTGGCAAAGTACCGTCCTTATTCTGAAGGGAGGGAAGAAGGTCCCACCTGGACTCAGTTGGAAGCAGTTGAGCTGTGCCCTGCGAGTATGTGACGGCAGCCTAGGCTGCAAACCCACTGTAGCAGTGCACCTTTGGTGTGGATAAAGAGATCTAGGATTAAGGCCAAACAGCACAGCACAGAAACTCCAGCAAGTCTAAGGAATAAAGTTCTCGAGAGAACAGGTGAATAGAAGAGAATCCTATGAATTATCTACTTTTTGTATTTTTTAAAAGACAATATAGCTTTTATATTACAATTCTTAAAAAACTGTGATTGGGTGTTCTGCCTGATGTACACCATGTGTGTGGAGCCCACAGAGACCAGAAGATGGCATCATTCCCTAGAACTGGAGTTAGAAATTTGTCAACTGCCATGTGGATGCTGGGGATTGAACCTGAGTCCTTGGGTTTACATGTGGCAAATACATTATAACAGAAAACATACAGTAAGTGTACAGTTTGACACTAGCAAGCTGGTACCACACAGGGTGGTAGTTATAGTCAGTTTCTTTGCCTGTAGTCTTCCAGTTTTTCGACAGTTGTATTTTTGCACGGGAGAACAAAGACCCAGCGGGTGCTTACACTTACTCACCGGCTCATTCCCTGGCTGGTCTGCATTTTTCCCCTTCTTTATTGTGACTTGAACGTGGTATTTTTTCTCAATCCACTGCTGAATCTGTTTACTCTTTGTGTCCAAATCATGCTGTCCAATATTTGAAGAAAACATGAGTTCCTTTGTCACAGCTGGTCCTGGGTGGAAACAGTGAACTTTATTGCTGGGCTGTGTCTGCTCTCCTTTGAAACAGCTTCCGCACACACTGGTAAGAGTTGAGGCCCACAGGCTCTGAGCCCCATCTCATTTCAGCCTCATGGACCATCAGCTGCTTTTTTAAATGGGGGAGACAGGCATAAACGTTTGTTGTTTTTAATGTGCTAAATTAATAGTTAAGATCCGCTAAGGCTTTTGTGTGTATGTGTGCACTTGTGCTTGTGAATGCAGGTGTGCATGCGTGTGCAGATATGTGTGCATGCGGTTCTCACCTCCCTGGAGAAAGTCTTGTTTGCACATTGTACACCAGGGTCACTAGCCTGTGGGCTCCCATTTCCCCAAAGGGGCAGGCTTGGAGTGCGGCTGAGACTGGATTTTACCACTCTTGTGCACAAGCACTCTCACCCACTGACCCCGCCCCCAGACCGTGTGTCAGACTGAGCTATGACTCCGCAGGAAGACCACCCAAGAGATACAGTTGGGGCATAGTGGACAACTCGGAGACTCGCTCAGACAGCAGTGGCTCCTCACTGTCACTGTGCTGAAAATCACTGTGACAGTACTGGAACACAGAGGCGCTGCAGCCTGGCCCATTTAGGTTCACAGACTCCAGAATGCACACAAACATTCATAAGAACAAAGAACGGAAGAGGCCAGATGCCGTGGAGATGGAATAACAAATCAGATCCAGTAACTTACCCACAGCTGTCCTGCGGACATGGGATGTGCCATTTTAAAAATCCACACACTGTTTCTCAACATCTGTCATATTAACACTGGCTCAAGTCCATGACAACATCTCTTGGGAGAGTGGAGGAGATGCCAACTTTTCCACAATGTTTTAAAACCTGAACCACAGCCAGATTCACTGATAAACAACTGTTTATTACCTTTCCTTTCCTTTGTATTTTTGGTTTTTTGTTTGTTTTTTTCAAGACAGGATTTCTGTGTTTAACAGCCCTCGCCATCCTGTCCCTCGATTTGTAGACCAGGCTGGCCTCGAACTCAGAGATCCACTTGGTTCTGCCTCTTGAGTGCTGGGATTAAAGATGTACGCCACCACAACCACCTTTAGTGCCTTTTCTTATAGGTCTTTAAAAAGTTTCTAGCACCCCTTGTTTTCCACCAGTTGGCTCTGGGTCTCTGTGAGAAAGGAGTGAACCCGCCAGGCTCTCCAGGCTCCCAGTCTGCTCCACATTTTCTGGCTGTGACATGGTTTGATATCCTGACTCCCTGATCTCATTAGTTTCCTATGAATGTCTGTTTTCTGGTTAGCATTCCTGGGGTGTAAAGAAACAGGTTATCTTTCCTCACAGCGCTCAGCCTCCCACAGTGGGGCCAGTCCCCTAATCCTTGTCACAGCATGAAGTCCATGGAATGGAGTCTTCCATACCTGGGAGCCATAAAAGCCAACTCCTCGTTGAGTGCCCAGTTCCAGGTGGCTTCCGTGACAGGTGTCTGAAGGTGACTGGCCATGTGCACAGGCCAGGGGTACTGTGAACAGTTCCAGCATTTATAAGGTGCTTGAAAAGCAAAATGACAGAAAGGAGGTTGGATCTGGAAAACCTCTCTTTAGAGTGTCACTTCACTGCCCCATCAGCCCCGTCAGCCCCAGGGCTCGCCACTGCATCTGGAGCCCAGGCTGCAAGATGACGGCGACTTCCATCACTCTGGTGGGCTTACAGTGTCTCCCCTCCATACTTGACAGTTTAAAAAAAAGAAGTGATGGACATGGGACATCAAAAATGAGGGGACTGGAAGTAGGGATGTGTACCTCCCTGCAATGATGGTAAAACTGGGCACACCAGAGTTCCCAGTTCCTCACGTCCCACTGACACCTTGGCAAACACGAGAGTGTCCTGAAGCTGTGGCTCTCAACTTTCCTAGTGTTGTCTCCTTTAATATAGTCCCTCATGGTGATCTGATTGCTGTTCCGTATACCCCTGTGCAAAGGGGGATCTCAACCCACAAGCTGAGAAACACTGTTCTGGTGTATCTGAGGCACCAATATTAAAGCACCTACCAGCTTTTGGGGTGGCCTTTTCCTGTTCCCGGATCTTGAGCCGCTCCTGGTGGATCTGTGCTCCGGTCATGAGCTGGTACTCTGGCGGCTCTGAGCTGGTGTTCCTCTGCACCAGCCTCAAGTCCTGCTTGTCCATGAGTCTGATCACATCGGCTCGGTGCATCAGTCCCAGGTCACTGCCTTTCTCATCCAGGACGCGGATAATCCGTTCACTGATTTTCCTTCCAGTGTTAGTAAAAGCATCTTTCCTCTTTTGTCTCTTCTCACTGTGGGCGTCTCCAGCAGTACTGAAACCTTTGGCAAAGGTGAGATGCACGAGCTTCGTGGTGGAGGCAGCAAGGGACAGCTGTGCCGGGTCTGGCTTCACAATGGGTTTTCTGAAACATCTTCTAATTGAGGTTTGCAGCGTTAGCCTCTTCAGAAGAACAGCCATCCTGATAAAGCAATGGGGAAAGTGTATTACCACACAATCGATGATGCCATGGTCTGCTAGTATGGCACAGTGTGGTGCAGGCGAGGCTGCGGCGCCTTACGGCACACAGATCACCAGATCCATGCAAGGCATGGCCCCTTGGTGGCTACCATCCCTAGTGCAGCTGGTGACCAGACTGAGCACCACGGCACGACTCTTCACTCTCTACCTTTGCTTTCACATTCGTGACATCTATTCTTTCCTAGATCCTACAGTACCAGCTCAAAAGTCAAGTTTACCTAAGGGTTTGTTTACAAGGATGAAGTAGAAATGTCATTTCAGGGGCTCCAGAGATGGCTCAGAGGTTAAGAGTCTCATCCTTTGGTAGAGCACCTGGGCGGGATTCCTAGCAATCATACGGTGTCCAAATGTTCAACTGTAACTCTAGTTCCGGGGATCTGACACCCTCTTCTGGCCTCTAAAGAGACTGCACACATGTGGTACACAGATACATATGCAGACAAGCACTTATAAAATATTTATTTATTTTTTATTTATTTATTTATTTTTTGGTTTTTTCGAGACAGGGTTTCTGTGTGGCTTTGGAGCCTGTCCTGGAACTAGCTCTGTAGAGCAGGCTGGTCTCGAACTCACAGAGATCTGCCTGCCTCTGCCTCCCGAGTGCTGGGATTAAAGGCGTGCGCCACCACCGCCCGGCTAAGCACTTGTAAAATATAAGAAATATACACACACACACAGGCACTTTGATTTTTTTTTTTTAAATGCTTCTTTACCACAGTCAAACAATAAAAAGTGCTGTTCTCACTTCTCATGGTTCTTCTTGTGCACGCCTTTAATTCCAGCACTTCGGAGGCAGAGTGGATCTCTGTGAGTGTTAGGCCAGCCTGCTCTACACAGTGAGACCCTGCCTGAGGGGAAAAAAAAAAATCACAAATTCATAAGAATGTATTATTTAGAATTCTTTACTGGGGACATGGGAATTTGGCTCAGTGGTAGAACATTTGCATTTGCCAAAAACGTGCAAGGCCCTGGTTTAATCCTCAGCCCCCAAACACAGCAGCAACAATCTTGGAAAATCTTTGCGTAGAAACAATGTACTGAGCAGCCTATGCAGAAACTGGTGCCATCCTCCACCCACGAGCAGCTAGGATCGCTTACAAAGTAGCCAGCAGACATAGCCTGCCCCGCTTTGGTCTTTTTAACACGACAGTCCAGCCCTGACAGCCTTTTTTTTTTGGGTTTTTTTTTCGAGACAGGGTTTCTCTGTGGTTTTGGAGCCTGTCCTGGAACTGCCTCCCGAGTGCTGGGATTAAAGGCGTGCGCCACCACCGCCCGGCCTGACAGCCCTTTCTAGACAAGATTCTTGGGTTCTAGATTTCCCTGAACACCTTATAATTTTGTTTGGCGGTGATATTTCACTTACAGTTTGGCAGCATGAAGGGGCTCTCCCTAGCCAGTTGCATGATTTAAACGTTAAGGAAAACGGCTGTAATTCCCTTCAACATGCTGAAAATGCAAACATCTCTTAGGCTGAAGTTCCCAGCAGTCCAAATCCCCACCTGAAGTGGTCAGCTTTTGACCATACTTGGGCACAAACCCAGCTTACGGTGGACATGTCATCACCCCTCCCCTAGAGGCTCTATGCGCACCCAGCTTTAGTCCTGGCGTGTGACTTCTCCCGCCTCAATCTCTGGGGCTGGAGAGCTCCCTGGGAAGTTGCTTTGTGCAAATAAACCTGCTTTTAGTTTCTAAATTGGGCTTGACCTGACTTACTGTGTCCGATACAGAACACCTGTTAGTTTGTACCTTCTTCTGAGAAGCGGTCCTCAGGACACGGCACTGCACCCCGCAGAAGTCTAATTTATTATTAACGGACACCTGAGCTACTTGGGCTCAGGCTCTTATGGATAAGGGACTGATTACCGTGTGACGCCCGGACTGTGTTCTTCACAAGATAGTGGTGATGGGGCTGCAAAGACGTCTCTAGAACAAAATTTAGGAACGCTTAATATCCAGCTTCTTAAACTGGGGGCTGTGTATCTGGATGTGGCAGCTGATTCAATATCATGTCCGAATGAGCAAGAATCAAAAATTAACTCACAAACACCTGCACAATGAGCCCATGGTGCTTCCACCAGCATGCACTCATGCTGCAACTAGCAACTCCATGGCAGCCTTTGTCCTCAACACAGCCTGATCTATGGCCACACCACAGTGAGCTTGCCTGACAGCATCAAAACCCACAACACGCTTCGCACCTACTTTGCGTCAGAGCACAGAGCACCAGCAAATGCCCACTGCCTCAAACACCTCAGTTCAGATTCAAGGCTACGGCACTACTACGAACTGCAAAGTGCTTACGGTTCACAACTTTTAATAAGCCCTGCTGACATGCTTTAGTATGAATCAAATTAGTCTACCTCTGAGCTGTAACGTATTACAATGTCTTGTTTTAAAAATTGCTATTTGAGTTGCTTAGTTTTCTGAAATAATAATAATAATAATAATAAAATGAATTATGGCTTGGGATTGGACAGGCTTTCCAACAATTTTTGAAGGGATCCTAAACATACTAATGGTATTTATCACTTCATAGTCACAAGCCCTGACATCCTGACACCTATTCACTCCAGAAGGAATGGGCTCGAGTAGATTCAATATACCGTGGACTCAACTTTGGCCTCCACTACAACTATGGATTCTCTCACCCCCACTTTCAGGAGTTTCAAAAGTCCGGGCACGGCGACGCGCGCCTTTAGTAGCAGCACTATGGAAATTAAGGCAGGCGGGTCTCTACAGAGTAAGCTCCAGGACAGCCAGAGCTACAAAGTGAGACCCTGTTTCAATAAAAGACAAAAATAAGGAAAATAAAAAATCCTCACAAGGTGTTCTAAGGGTCGGCAGCGGGCACGCCCACCCGAAGGACACGGCCACCAGGAAGCCTGAAGCACACACCCCCCCCCCACCACGTCCCCCACCCCGTTGTCGTGCGCGTGCGCACCTGCGCGGCGAAAATGGCTGGGATTGCTTGTTCAGTGGCTCGGGAGCGCGGCCGCTGGGTTGGGTCCTGAAGCCTGGGGGCGCCGTACCCCGTCCGCCTAGGGTGTTCTGCACACTGTCCCCGGGACACGTCCTTCCGCCTCAGCCCCGCACCGCCGAGCCCTCACCTTAGCGCTACTCGGGCCGGGGACGGCGAGCGGGAGGAAACGGCAGATCGGTACACGGGCCCCGCGGAAGGACCGCGCCGGCTTCCGTAGCAGGCGGGACTTCCCGAGTCTTTTAAAGGGAAGGTGCCACCAGCAGTCGTGGTTTCCGCTTTTAGGATAAAGTCCGGGGGGGGGGGGGGGGGGGGGGAGAGCGGGGGACGACGGAAGTGCAGAAGTTCTGAGGAAGAAGTCGAGGATATTGCTACTTACCTTCTGCTGCTCCGGAGGCGAAGAGAACGTTAAAACGTGAAGTCCCAAGCGGGCCGGTGGTGGCCGTTCCTTTAATCCCAGTACTCAGGAGGCAGAGGCAGGCGGAGCTCTGTGAGTTCGAGGCCAGCTTGGTCTACAGAGCGAGTTCCAGAACAGGCTCCAAAGCTACAGAGAAGTCTTGTCTTGAAAGACCAAAACCAAGCAACATACAAACAAACAAAACCCAAAGTGAAGTTCCTGGAGCAAAGTCACTGCATCACTTGGGTCAATTACATTAATAGCAGTATTAACGAACTATCAAATGCCTCATAAATGGGTTCCATAAATGTCTGGACTCCACTCTTTGGTATGAATACTGCCATAAGAGCAATCAGGCTAGTGAGAACTCTGGGTAGCCAGGAGTAAGCCTCCCTGCTAAGACAAGTGATGGATTCAGGTTCCAGAGCTGTCAGAACTGGGAGAAATCGCACCTCATCCACAGAGCTGGGGAAGAGGGCAGATGGGAACTTCACGGTCTGTGTTACACCTTCTGGCTCTTGGGGTCCGCACCCCTGCAAACAGGCCATTAACTGTCCTACTTCGGCGTTAGTCCCTTCTTCTCTCGGTTCTCAACAGGGGATTCCTAAGTGGTGATATTTACATTCTTTTTGTGAAGGGAAACCATTGTATTTATAGGCTGCGTGTTAAATATGACAAGACTTGTCTTACTTAATTCTCAACAGATAACCAGGGTAATACTTGATTACAGCTATTACGCTTGCATCAGAGGAAACTAAGGCAGCCTTAAATAGCTTCTTGAGAGCCACGTCTAAGTCTCCTTTTCCCATCGAATCACAGCCTCTGGCACATGAACCTTGGATCTGTGATATGGCAAAACCTGAAGCAATTCTGTACGACCCAAAGACCAGTCTGGGGCCTGCATGCCGGTCATTTCCAAGTGAAATGAAGAATTAGAGACGCATTTTCTTCTGCTGGGATTAGTCCTTGATGGGAAGACGGAAGCACAGCTGTGCGGATACCTCTGGGTAGACAGGCCCACTACGGCCACATGCGCCTGTATTTACGACAACATTTGCCACACTTCTAAGCACTTAATGTGTATCAAGTTAGTTTAATCCTCCAGACACCCTCGTGAGCTACTGCTGTCATTACCCATTTCCTTGATGAGGGGACAGAAACATGAAGACACTATATGACTTGTCCCGACATCACGCAATTAGCAATGTAATGACTGTAACAAGAAGGCTGGATAGCTCAGTGGTTAAGAGGGTATTTCTCTTGCAGAGGCCCTGGGTTCTGCTCCCAGCACCCACAGCTGCCTGTAACTCCAGTTCCAAGGACCCCAACGCCCTGTTATTACCTTGGAGGCACCTCCATACACGCGGGTACATGCAGGAACATACACACACACAAACAGATCAAAATAACTTTAAAAGAGTTTAAAAGGAGAAAAAAAGAGAAAGAGTGAAGGGGACCGGGGAAAGAGTTCAGTGACGGATCATCCTTGTTTGATTGATTGATTGATTGATTGATTGATTGATTTAGGGTGTAGAACCTAGTACTCGCTAGGCAAGTGCTCTAACTCTGAGTTAAATCCCTAACCCCAGAGCAAGAGTACTTGCCCAGCATGTGCAAGCCCTGGTTTCTATCCTGAGTACTTAAAAATAAAAGAAATGAAAAGAGGGGAAAGAGAAAAAGAAAAGCTGACCCAAGCAGCCTGGTGCCGTATTCCTCGATAGTACTTGTGCTGGAGAAGAGACACTGCTCTGTGGAAACGCTAAGTCCAATGGACACAAGGAAACAGAAGTATTTACTATGCAAACAAAGGGCTTACAGTTTGATAAGATTATGGTTTAAGAAATTTAACCAGACAGACATCCCTGGTAACTACTTTACCAGCTCAGCATCTTGCTGTAGCCTTCTTTGAAGGCCATGGGACCTAGCGAATGGCTGGAGCAGCTGCCACCATTAGCTGTCCTAACACCTACATGATGGTGGGTTTTTAAAAAAATGTTGTTTGTTTTATTCTGTTTGAGACAGGCTCTCTCTATGCAGTCCTGGCTGTACTGGATTTCCCAAAGTAGACCAGGAAGGACATGAACTCACAGAGGTCCTCTGTCTCATACAACATGTACAACAAGCAGCGTGCCCTGCTTGACCTCTTGAGCACTGGGCGAGAAGGTGAGTGCTACAGCGCTGGACCTAGGATGGTGGTTTTGCTTTTGCATTCCTGAGAGAAGTCAGACAGAAGGAGGAATGCTGCTATAGACATGGCCTTAGGACTTGCACCCCCACTTTCCCCTTCAGCTCCTGAATCCTGTTTTAGCCTCCAGGAAATGGGATGTAGTCTATTTTTTAAAAAAAATCTGATTTTTAAAAATGTTTTTAATGTGCATTGGTGTTTTGCCTGCATAGATGTCTGTGTGAGGGAGTCAGATCCCCTGGGACTGGAGTTACAGACAGGTGTGAGCTGCCATGTGGGTGCTGGGAACTGAACCTGGATCCTCTGGAAGAGCAGCCAGTGCTCTTAACCACTGAGCCATCTCTCCAGGATGTGGCCTATTTTAAGGAGACATGGGAGCAATAGGTTCAGCTTGGTGGTGGCAGGGTTTGGAGACTCTTGAATGAAGACAACACATACAACAAGCACCCTGCCCTGAGACTGTCTTTCTCTCACCTATTTCCCAAGGCGCAGTTTCTGATTTGTCTGTCAAAAAAGAACTCCAGATTCTTTGGACAAATATTGGAATATTGGGGGTTTCTGTCTGTATTAAGCCTTTCTGGTACCATTGCTGCCTCTGTTACATTTCTCACCGGTAACAAAGCTGTCTTATAGCTCCAGAAAAAGTCCTGTCAGGATGAATGTTTAAGAGATGGCAGGTCAATAAGTCCTCAATATTTCTTTTTCCAAATTTTACTTTTATTTAAAAGGTCTCGCCGGTCAGTAGTGGCACATGCCTGTAATCCCAGAACTCAGGAGGCAGAAGCAGGTGGATCTTTGTGAATTTAAGGCCAACCTGGTCTATAGAGTTAGTTTTAGGACAGCCAGGACGACACAGAGAAACCCTGTCTCAAAAAACTAAAAACAAAACAACAACAACAAAAAACCCAAAACAAAAAACAAAAATGACCAAAAAAGGTCTCCATGGAAACTCTTTCAAAACTTCTGTCTCAAATTAATTTCAGAACAAGTGGTCCTTACACACCAAAGAGCGTGACACTGGTGTCCACAGTAAGCCTGTCAATGAGTCCAACCTTTCAGGGGAGCGGCTAGGCCACCCACAGCAGCCAGGGCACCAGAGAGGGTACCTTGGGACAAGCTGGTGAAGAAAGTCTGCACAGACACCAGCAGACACTCCCTCTTGCTTGGTGACTAGGGACAGTCACAGTTTTAAAAGCAAACCACATACTAGTGCAATTCTTGGGTTTCTTTTGAACTTGTAGAGATGCTGTCAAGTCTGCATGGGTTCAGGGCAGTGACTCTGTCAGTATAGCGTGGGTCTAATGGCTGAGAAGACACGCATTCACCTTCTGCCTGCTGCTATGGTGAAAGGGATGCAGGAAACAAGATGTGCTGGGGTGGGGGTAGGCTTTGACCAAACGTTAGAAAAAGCATTCAAAATTTCCTGAAGATGACCGCCTCCATCCAATGAGATGACTACCACGAATCCACGAGTCTGTTATCATAAACTATCACGATAAGTCTTCATGTTGACCATTTACTCTCAGGTGGGACCATGGGTCACTCACTCCAAACACCAATGTGCTGAATAAACACGACAAAACAAAATAAAAACACCAGTAGGTTTAGCTGTGCTTTCAACGTGTGTGAGACTTGAGAATCGTCCTCTGTGTGACACATTTGTTCCGTGACTACGTAGACAGGTCCCCCCAGGAGACCTGGAGAGCATCTGGTGGTAGCCACACCTGTCTTTCAGCCCTTCATGTACCCTAAGACTATAAATCAATCCAGAATACACCTCTTCATCATGTATAAAGCCCCTCACAGCATCGCACTCCAGATCAAGTATTTCTTTTGTCAAAAACCGATGACACCAATTATTAAACCACGACCATATCTGTAAATGAGCACAATAAGTGTGTCGGAGTCTACACAGCGTGATTTTTCAAAAGCTATCATGTGCATTAAATGCAATGTTTACAGAAGGAGAAGCATTCTCTTCCATGCATAGTCTTTTTGCACAACCAAATGAAAGAGAAAATGGGTTTGAAATGTCTCATTTGGAAAAGCAAGGTGGTGGGTTTTGGAGTGACTTAGCCAACTTTCATCACTGATGTGTGTGTGTGTGCACACGCACACACATGCACGCACGTGCACACATATGCACAAATGTGTAGGACCAGTGGATCAGAGGTCAATGGTGGCTATTGCTCCACAGGTGCTCTCCTTTTGACAAAATTTGACAGTCTCTCATTGGCCTGGACCTCTCCCACTAGGCTAGGTTGGCTGGGCTGGAGGCCCCAGGATCTTCCTGTCACTGCCTCCTCGGCACTGGGATTACAAGTGGGCACCACCACACTCAACTTTTTATATGGGTGCTGGGAATTGAACTCAGATCCTCATGCTTGCCTGGCAAGCACAGTATCAACTGAGCTATGGCCTCAGAGCCAACTGCGTTCAGTTTTGAAACTGTTAAAGTGAGTAGTTCCCACTGCTCACATCACACAGAACAATGAGGACAGGACGATAAAAACTTAGAAGACATTCCATATTCTTTACTGTGGTGGTCACAGCAAAACACGACCAACATATCACCTAGCACTTACACTTCACATAAAGCACAGCACCGCTTTTCGA